AATAAATAGCTAAGAAAATAAATAAATTGGAACAGAGATCAAAATTAAAAGTACTGAATTCATTACCACAATTTGATGGATAACTTATCCATAGCTTGGACAATACACATTTTAACACCCTTATCAAAAGCCTATTGTTAAAAGAAAGTTAGCAATCTATTAATACGTACAAAAGTCAATACAGAAAAAGATCTGAAGAAGAAAATAAGAAGTCCTCTGCATTCTTTCCTTCCTTTACTATCTAACTCCATATTACTCCACTCTGTCCAACAAAAGGGTGACCTGACTATACCATCACAGTAACTCAATCCGTACAGAACACTCAAGTCAAGGTAGTTTTAAAAAAACTCAGACACCTAAGTCTAAAATTTATTTTTCTAAGCACACTGGATAAATCCAACTTTTCTTGAAAGACAGCACAGTCTTAGATTTTTCTTCTCATTACTACAGGTCTGTCAATCACTTGCTTATCCAATGAAATAAAACCTCAAGGACTAGCTTTATTCCTCCACTTCCCTACCGCCCTCTGAAAAACGGATGAAAAGAGTATTACACAAAGAAGCTAAGATGCTATGCAAAACTAGATCTCAAAGCCCTTAAGTCACTTAAGCATACATCACTAGGTGACTGCATAATAGAGTTAAGGGCACATATATGGTTTCAATAAATATATTTATTTGAGATTACAGGGAAAAGTATTTGAAACGCCTAAAAACAACATGCAGAGACAGATGGAGTAAGATGTACTGAAATATTCACATAGATGTGCTTTGTTTTTCTTTTTCTTCTTTGGAAGCTAGCCTGGACAAGATTCCCTTCGTTCTGACGTGATCAACCATAAAGTAACTATAAGTTTAAAGGAGAGGAATAATGGACAGAACCCAATATATTTTATAGCTGTTAAGAGCTAACTCTAATTTATAACTATAATTAACTTGACTTTTAAATGACTTCTTAGAAATAGGTCATGTCTAAATTCAGGTTCTAGAGACTGAATGCAGCAAACGTATATCCACATTTTCAGCAAAATGTTGTGCACTAAGTTGCATGCTCTTCTGTGAGGCAAAGAGGTGGTAATCTCTTTTCTGATGTCCTAGGTAACCCTAAACGAGATATTGTGCTGCCCAACTATAAGCATGCCCAAATTTGGACATCTGGCTTCAGACAATCCTTCAACACCTCTTGGATGATAGTGAAATGAATTAAGAGGTCTATGCAAGAATCCGTGACACAGCCCTAATTGCTGCAGCCATACTTTCCAAATAAAGCAGTTACTTCAAATAAACTTGAGGATTGTTTTTGCCTTGTCTGAACTGGTCTGTTTCAGCTGTTGTCCACATTAAGAGGTGAGCACATAGCCAGTTCCTGACAGAATGCTAGTCCTCCCTTATTCCTTCTAAAAGCAAGAAAGAGATGCCTTCATAGAAGTATCCAGAGAATTCAAGGTGGGCTCTCGCTCTGTACAACAACTCTAAAAGCTGACATAGGAGACCGGCCTGCTCTACTTTAAGTGAGCCTTTTTGAATAGCTCCCACAGAGCTGGGCCTAGGTAAATTATTCTTGTGGATGCACAAAAGAGCTAAGACACTTTTGCTTATGTTTAAAGAAGTTTTCATGAGTGTTTATGAAGAAAAAAAACTAATTATTATTTGAAGAGATGCATTTTCAAAGAAATATCATAAGCTTTGAGAGATAGACTTGGAACTTCACCCATTTCTATGCTAAAGAAGGACTCAGGAGCTTGATTCTGGTGACTGTCACACCAGCTTGAGGTTTAGACCCTTGAGTTTGTCACCACCCCGTAACAAGCTGTTATGCATAATCTGTAGTAAACAGATGTGCACTTGAGCAAAGTAATTCAAAAAAGCATCGCCTCTTAGAGGTTTAACCTTACCCAAGTTACACAAACAGAGATTGAAGGCGTGTACTTGACATTTATCATTGTCACATTTTCATTTATCTATCTGGGTGTTGGAAGGCTTTTATTTTTGACAGCCACACAAATTCTGACCTTAGAATCAGGCCCATATTTGCTCATCTAGGCAAAATATCTAGATGGATGTATGTCTGATTAGTTTCTTGATTTACTTAAATTATTTTCTGATAAATACTTTTAGAGAAAACTTGTTTCCTGAAGGAGGAATCAAACAGGAAACCATTAATACCACACTATCTAAAAAGGCAACATTGTACATTGCTTAGGTGTAAGACCTCTGAGCTCCTATGACTACAAACACATCGAAGAAGTTACCCGGTATGTATTTATCTACTTTAGTAAGAGCACTGCATCACGTTTATATGCATTTCTCATTGTTATAGTATGCAACTACATTTAGGCCTGCAAACTAAATAATCTATGCTGTGATGGTTCAAACTGTTCCTATTTATTTATTTCAGTGTTGCCTGAAATTACAGGCTTAATCCTCCAGTAGATGTTACGTATATGCTTAATTTAAATACAATAAAAGCCATACACATGTGTAAAGTTAACTATTACCCTCAAACCTGCAGGATTAGCATAAATTTCTATTTCTAGAGTTTATGCTTAGATAGGACAAATAACCAGGGGCATAAACTGCAGCAAGAAAGATTTAGGATATAGAAAAGACAGTGGAACACTAGAACAAACTGAAAAGGAAGGTACAAAATCTCCCTGCCAGGAGGTCTTGAAGAACAAATTAGACAGCTGTCTTGCAAGAATTCCAATTATAGTAGAGCCTACCTTGGAAAGGGAAAAATACATTCAAAATGTCTGAAACTCAGTTTCAAGTTTATTTTTCTTGATTTCATGATAATCTGCAAAGGGAGCCCAAAAATAAAACACTCTCCTAAAACTCAGATGTATTTGTCAAGTGCTGAAAAAGGGGCTGAAGCCCCAAATGTACTCTTCCTCAACCTGTTCCTGTACAAAAGGGATCCGCTATAAGAGATGACCATCCTACTGCCAATGCTGTTACTAAGTGGAACGAGAACGCTACTTACTTGCTATCATGATTGAACAGGTTTGTTTTGAAGTACTAGAGGAAAAAAGATGAAAAAAATGAATAAGTAAAGCCATTACTCAATAATCTATTAATTGCAAAACCAAATATTTATCCACCTTAAAAAGAGACAATATCATGCTATCCTAAATGCTGTTTTACTTTATTGTTATGCCATACACTAATATTAAACATGCACCACACCTTGATTCATTTGTATTTAAAAGAAACTGAGTAACTTTGCCATAGAAATTCTGACTGATACCTATAAAAGGATATCACTCAGCTCTGGCAGTGTCCTAGTGTTTTATTTCACTTAAGTCCCCGTATAAAAATGAACATTATAGGGCTAATTATAAGTATTATGCCAGTTAAGTTAGCCATGTTTATAAAATACAGAAGAAGGAGTATGTCCCTCTAATATCTGAAAGGAGACCACAAAGAATAAATAAGAGGTTATATATGGTAGAGGAAGGGAAAGGGTGCTTCAACATTTGAAGAAACAGCTTGAATCTGGCCCACTATGAAACATAAGCCCAATGAACCGTCCCACAAAGCTGTGTAACTAAACTTGAGGATATTATAAGAGACGACTCAGGATACTGAATGTAGATCCTAACTGACACAAACGGAAAAGCACAGCATGAAAGTTGCACATTAGAATACCTTCCTACCCACAGTCCCACTAGTATGAATATTTACTGTTATGTTGCTCTGATAAAATAATTTCTTCCTCAATCCAAAAATTCCTTTAAGTCATTTTATACTGAGAAAGATCATTCCTGATATGCCACCTCCAGGCACGCTGTACTTAGTCTCGTAAATTACACCAACGATTTTACTTGAATTGCGATTCAAACACGTATCAGGTTCCCTTCAAGATAATGTTTTCCCCATACCAAGTGAGATGCCTGGCTGCAAATTAGAACCACCGTGCTGACCACAGGCTTTGTTCTGAATGGAGCTCAGAACACAGTGCAGGCCCAATTTCCAAGCTAAAATTTTACCTGTGTGGATACTGTTTTCAAAGGAGATGCGGACTTGCCTTTCTTTCCCTGCAGGATCAATCTCAGATTTTTCCTTAAACGTAGGTAGTCACCAGGGCAAAACAGACATAGCAACTAAGTAAATACTGCTTGTCAAATGTATTCCTTCAGGAAGTTCTTCTAGGTTTTCTCTTTGCTCTAGACTGTCCCTAGCAGCTGTTAATAATGCAGTAGCAAATGACACTGAAATGCAATTTTGGAGGAACCTACATATCCACAGGAACATAGCAATTGGAAGAAAGATAGTAAAAAATAGACATATCTGAATTAATATCAAATTAATTCAGATAGCTTAACACTTAGCTTAACACTTCTCTCTAAAACAGATAATCAGTTTAATTCTGGTAATGTCATTCAGAAAACCATACTTTTAACTGGAGTCAATTCACAGGCCACTTTACAGATCTCGTGCTGCTTCTCTTGACAACACTAACTATTGGTTCTGAAGTTCTCTGGTCACTCATCAGAAAGCCCTCCCTAAGCTTATAGATTGGTATCTCCTCTTATCACCTCCAATGAGGTAAACTTCTGGTCTAACTGGGATAGGTAAATTTGACAAGTGAGTTTAAGCCAGTGACTAACTCCTCAGAACACAGTGATAAGACTTACCAAAACAACTTTATCTAACAGTACACATTAAAAATAGTATGTCCCTAAGCAGGCATGACATAAACAGACGTGTGGCACCTGAGTGGGAGGAGCTGCAGTCAGACTTTGTCCTCATTTACACTTAACGTAACTTCAGTAACCTTAATGGCACTGCATGGTTAGACCCAAATGCCGAACCTAGTCCTCAAATTCTAAAATAGGAAATTAATGCACATGGATGTGCATTAATTCATTTTGCTTACGCTGCAAAACAGTGACACCCACTGGCAACAACAGTTTAAACACCTAATTGTTGCAATTTGGATTTACTTGATATAAGTTGCTAGAAAGCTTCTCTGGGAAAAAATTCATCTTAATAACTTACCTGTTGAGTCAGCACCACTCTCCGACTTTTCAGAAACTGAGACACTATCAGTATTTGGAGCAACTGCAATGTAACCCTCAGGAGGGAGATTCACTGTGTATGTTCTCCTTGGAGGCAGAATTGTATTGTCATTACCTGCAAAATCGAAAAACAAAACGTCTGGTCATTGATTTCAGTATGGATTTTCTCAAACATTTTTCTAAATATAGCAACAACAACAAGAGGTCTCAAGAATCCTTATGGAGGAAAAAAGAAGAGAGAAAACGAGAGAGAGATATGCGGGGCATTAAAATTATCCTATGACCAACAAAATTGCACTGAATTCTGTAGCAGCTACAAAATTATAAAAAAAACCAAAAACCAAAAAACACACACACACACCCCAGAGGTTTGTTCTTTCCATCAGAAGCATGTTTTTTCTTATTCCAGACAATTCTTTTGCCACCACTTTAGAAGACACTTCCACTTACAGTGATATTTGAGAAGACACTACACACATCTCCCCATTCAGCTTGGGGACACTGTCTCTGTAACAACTGTTTCATAAAAGATGGAGAGATACAAGCTGATTACAGAGCAGTAGAAGTAAGAAGAACTGCAGTTCATCCGTTTGGAGACTTTTTAGATGTAGTCCAGCTGCTGTTTTGAAGGGCACAAAGATGAAGAGAGTTTGAAAACCACACCTGACTAAACCTCAATAATGCCTGTCCACCAAGAGTGCTCATCTCCCCATTTCTTCTCTGCTTCAGCAGTTCCTTCTGAACGTGAGGAAAAACTGCTTTATTGCGAGGATAACTGAGCACTGGAACAGGCTGCCCAGAGATGTTGTGGAGTCTCCCTTCTTAGGATATTCAAAAGCCATCTGGACACAGTCCTGGAAAACGTACTCTAGGTAACCCTGCTTGAGCAGGGGCATTGGACTAGATGATCTCCAGAGGTCCCTTCCAACCTCAACCGCTCTGTGATCCTGTGTGATTCTTTCTGGAGGAAGAGTGTCTGGGGCTAGTTTTTCCAATCATTTCATTGTATAGGAACATTCTGCTGCCATCATTGCTGTGAAGATTTTTGAAAGATGTCTTCCCCTCCTAAAAAAGGATTTTAAAAATACGTGCACGATTACCAGTATAATCTCGTCATTTGTTCACTAGACCAGAAGGAACTTTGTAGCAATGACACAGATGCATCTCTGTTCCAGTTATACGAAGCTGGTCCAAAGAGCAGGCTGTATTTTTTGCTGTATGCCCATTAAAAAAGTGACAACATTAGAGATTAACTACAGGGAGACAAAAGCCTTTCCAGAAGGCCAGGATGTTCATGGTGTCTCCAGATGATGCACTAATTTTAAATGGTTCAGTACCTTTGTTTTACATTCAGGCAGCTTCATAAGCCAGCACAGATACAGGACTTTGCATTTCCCTCTTGGGGGGCAATTTGCCCCTTTAAAATAGACAGATAGAACTGCTATATAATGTAAAGTATAAATGTATTTGGCAGGTGCACACAATTAGTCTCTTTTCTCCACAAACTTGCCAGAGGATCAGAGATGATCCAAGTCCATTACAGAGCTACAGAACAACTGTTCTAACTAAAACCTGAATATTTAAAATGCAGTTTAATTTAACGGAAAAAAAAATCTGTTAGGAATGTACATTTCTATAATCAAATAGCTTTGATTTACCTAAAACGGACAAGCATCTTTCCACCAGAGACATCACTCTTAACCAGACAAGTAGCTATGTCTCAGGAAAAAAAAAAAAAAACTTCAAAATAATAAAAAAAGGTTCGATATGATTGATCATCTTAGGTATCTGTGATGCAATATATTTCAGAACATTAAAGATACTTTTGACAAGCGACATCACAATTGCTTTCAATATCAAGATGAAACCATTTTGTTTCAGAACACATTAAAAACTGATAGCTCTTCTTGAACGAGCCATCATTATTTTAATTCATAAGGGAAATTAAATAAATAATAAGATGAAAAGTAATTATGTGATTTGGAAAAAGATCCACCAAAAACTAATTTGGTGGGTTTAGCTGGGTTGATTTTTTCCTCCGTCCATGTTCATTAACGATGAAGTAAGTGTTAATCAGTGACATTTTTAAACAACAAGGATCTATGAATGTTTCCGAGTTATCCCCTACTGAACAGTTACAAAATTTTATTCTCCCGCCCTGTATTTCCACTTTTTCTCTCCCTTACATATGAGTTCTGTAAAACAAACAAAAAAATTCATGAAAACGTTAAACTCAATTTGCAGTAGTCATGACTAATGTAAACCCCTTCATCTTATCAGCAGTGACAGGATTCAGACACTCATGGTTGCTGAAAGAGAGAGAAAGAGTGAAAAAATGATGCCTCTTCAGGATTTCTATTATTTACTCATGACAACACTTAAACACAAATAGCGGCCTTTATGCTGGGACATCTCTTAACTTTCTTGGACAAAGTACTTGAACAAGAATTTTGGAGGGAAATCTGTAACACCTAATCTTCCAAAGAACAACAGTAACAACATTTACTATATAAACAAGCAATGATTCAAAACATTTTTTTTCCTCAAATGTCCTCAAAGGACATATTTACCCTGCATACACCTTGAAGCAATTTGTAAACCATAAATCACGTTTCAGTCTTTGCTAATCCCATATATCAACCCATACTGTTACCACAAACAAAAGTATATGCATAACCATATTTGATAGATTGACTTTATATATAAATTGCATGAATTGCAAAAGCAAAGCTATATTCTAATCATTAAAACTTTTCAATCTTTCAAAAGCTTTCAGAAATCTGGGTTCTAGTAAAATTTTGAACAATGGAGATAAGTTAAGAATGTTGGATAAAGGAAAATAAAATCATGAATCAGTCAGGCATCATCCTATCTTAAAAGCTAAGATAATTGTGCTGTCCTAGTTCTCAAGACACTTCCAAATAAAATGATTCCTCCCCTCCCCCCCCATAACTAGTGAAAATAATCAAATAATGGAAGAATATTCTATATTTCCTATTAGTTAAAACACTCATGAATTCCCCAAATTCTTGAGGCTTCCAAATGAAAAGGAAAAAAAAAAAAATCAAAGTTGATAATTACACTACAGTGGTTACTTGCAGCATTAATAAAAACAATTAAATTACAGTAAGACATCTTTCTGTAAGCTTTAACAGGTTACAGGAAATCGAAATGCATTTATCAAAAAAGCTTTGTAGGTGTTTTTTTTCTTTCCTAATATGCTACCAAAAAAAGAACCCTTCAAACGTTCTAGTGTAGTTACACATACCAAGCGATAGATGATAACCAGTAGGTAGTTACAGGCAAAGTTAACAGTTTCTGGGGCTTTAAGAAATATATACAAAGGATGTCATTTAAAAAAAAAAAAAAAACCACAAACCCACATACCACACACACACCCCACTAGCAATTCTCCCAAAGGCAAAGCAAGAATACAGAGTAAATATTTTGAGTTAAGTTGCCTTCTTTTGTGTCTCCACAAAGTCCTCCACACAAAGACCTCCTTTACATGTAAAAGTCTTGTGCAGAAAGTAGGAAAGCGCATCAGAACGCCACCATTATCAAGGTTACATCTAGAAGGATGTCAGTAGCTTGGGTGCCTATGTTACTTCTTATTATTCTACTGTAAACAACTATCAGAACTTTCAAGAAGGAGGTGAAGCTTCCATGTCATACCAGCTATGTAAAATTGCTGACTGCCTAGGCTGTCATCACTTCAGGCAGAAGCAGGATTATTTTGTTTTTAGGCTATTTTTTTGTGTCATCAAACCTTCTCTTACCTGTAGCTTAGAATACCTGTACATATCATAAGCATGGCTTCCAAATAATTTGAACACAAAGCATGTTTAGGCATACTTCAAAAACAGATGTGGCCAGAACCTGTTTATACAGTTTTGGTCCTTAGCTTGTTGGTAAGGGTGATTAAACGCAGGGCAGAGACCGAATCCCTTTTAGTTTCACAATCTTGCACAGAAATTCCATCTTTTCCACTGAAATGCTTTCCTGCAACTCAAAGAGTCTAGGTAATTAAATATTGTGTTTCCATGGAGTGGGACTAATAGAGCAAACGGAGAGCCTGACCTCAGAGGTCAGCCAGACGCTCTTGCAGACTTTCCCAAATTATAGTCAAGAGGCAAGTTACCCTACCTCATACAGGTCGTAATCTTTGCAAAAAAAGTTAGTCCCTTGGAATTACCCAGACTTCACTTCTCCAAATGTAGGAAAAGAATTTGTCCTCAAAGAGAGATCGTTATAGAAAAGCCCAGGAAGAGAAGGATTGATTCTGGATCAAACCCAAGGTCTGACTACTTCAGTATCATACCTTTTATGGTAGTCAATGTTCTTCAGGTATGCATATAATACGTATCTACTATAACTCCATCACAGTAGTTATGATCTGGGATCCACTTTGAGGAGGAACATGTGATACAGTGGAACAAATCCATCTCAAATTGTTTTGTGTTGTACACTCAAAGCGTGACTAAGCCTCTCTTACAGCATCTCGATACTAACTTCCTAGGCAATTGCCTTGCCAAGAGAAAGCGTCTGATCTCTCAAAGAGAAAAGAACAGTAGAAAAATCTTCAAGACACCACCAGGCATCTTCCTAACTCAGATGTTTGTAAGACAAACTTGACAGAGATTGAAGTCCACTAGACCAAGAACAAAACACAAAAACAAAGGCTATAGAAGTTTTGGTCCAAATATAAAAGGTGACCCCCACTCTAGTCAAGTCTGTAAAAATACTTAGTTTTTGCTCTCATAGGATGCTGCTGTACATTCCCTTATGATCGTTATTTGTGGAGCAGAACGCACAGAAACCAAGAAGCCGGCAATGACCGTTTACTGCTGGTAACTTCACCTCCCAATGACCATGCACAACCAACCCCTGTTTATCTCCACACTATATAGACACGCTATCTTTCTCCCCTGTGTTGATTAGCAGGACAAGTGTCTTTTAAAGTCATTGAGAATCTGAATCCTGGGACAGAGAGAACTCTCTCCTTCATTAAACTTTTATAAGCTTGGAGTGTGGCAAAGGCGGTATCAGCAACTAAACATCTATGGTGGACTCTAGAATACACATACCTTGAAGCTCCTCCTGAGCTGTGCTGCT